ATCCTTTCGCGCGCGGCGTCTCTCTCGCCGCGATGCGACAATTTTGACCCTACTGCACCACACCCCTCTTCCCTTTATCCCTAATCAACGCAAAAAATTGACCTCTTCTTATGAATCTCACTAAATACCTTTGAAAATGCGGTGGTATTCGGGAGTAAGCCATAAAAGCTGTTGTTGGGACAGATAACAGCGTAGATGGCAGCTTGAGCACTACCGGCTATAACGTTTGTAAGCACAGGCTTCGTATAATTCTGAAAGTATCAGTAGTTCTGTCTGCACCATAAATATTAGTTACTAAAAGAGTAATATAGTTATGTTACGAATTAATTACCTTTTGAACATATTCGATGATTTCTTTGCTATTGTTCCCATCTGGATGACCAAGATGTCCTCCAACAGCCTGACAGGTTTCATCAGCATCAACCCATGTGGATGCCGCTCTAGGCAGTACCTCCCAACAATGTATTTGATCGGTTGAGGGGACTTTAATACCAGTACATCCACAAAGTGCTTGGGTTCCTGTCAAGAAAATGAAGTACTCTCTTTACTAGTCTGCCTGGATTCCAGTTATCACAAAGTATTCAATTAACAGGGTAAGTATGTAACCCGTATTACCATAGCTAAACTAGACCTCCCATAAAGCTGGTAACTGGTAGCCATAAAATTTATTGTTGCATAGTATTTGTGTGTATAAGAACAACGGAGGTTATGGTCTGGTGGGTCAAATCAATCAGAATCAATCAATACCAAAAGACTTGTAGTCTATTCAGTGAGAAGCGGGATGCAGCAGTGGTGTAGATAAAGCTTTTTTTTGTACTTCATTGAAAAAGTAAAGTTAACAAACCTGCAAAACAAAGACAAAACAGAAGCAGGGCAGTCAGAAGCATCTCAGTATGGAAACCAATCTACTGGGTGATGTATCCATGCGACCGACCAAAGTGAGGAAAATACATAAAATACGTTTGCCGTCCACTTCGTCACATGGTAACCAAGGAAAAACAGCCTTCAAGGAAAGCCATGACATTGAAAAGCAATGGAAATGAAGAAAAGCCAGCTGTTCACCTTCAAAACGACCTCCGGAAAGGATCAGGGTTTTCAAAAAAACCCGTGGGAAGCCTGGGTTGAGACCAACTTTTATTCAGACCCCAACGGCTTTCTTCATATCAACCTGAATATTATTAAAATTTAGTGCAACTTTGAAAAGATAACCACTCACTCGGAATTTCTCGATCTGTTTTCGTACTGTCCACTTCTTACTACTTATATTTTCTCACTATTTCCGAAGCCCTCTATAGGGATGGTTCTTGAAGCAACAGTTTATTGAGCTGCTACATATTACTGAAGTGTTTTTGTTTGATTTGATAAATAAATATTCTCTTCAAATAGCACACTGTATAGGTCAACAAGAACATTAATTTTCATCTAAAATTGGAAACCTGTCTTACTAGCCTAATTTCGATTTCAGTTCGATAAACTAAACTGATCTGTGTAGGGTAAGGGACAAAGAGTACAGTCCCAGAAAAGTGCAAGTAGGAATTCGAGTCTGGTCCGCGCCCAAAGTTTTGCCCACGACTCGCCAACTTTGTCAGATCTTTTCCCTTTTGATACTTTCTTGCTTCTGGAACACTTGAGTACTATCGGGTACAGAACTATCGAGTAAGACGATCTGTAACTGGAGAGCATGGGCCTCTCGAGAACTAACAGGGTTAGGATCCACTGCATTCTGGTCGCGTTTTTTCGGAATTCATGTTTACTTGTTTATTTTATTTACTTCATTTTTTCAATATTAATTCATATTTGCTACATAGTGATTCCAATTACAGTCTTTTCTCCAAAAAAAACAAATCACTATTTTCTTTTCATTACCATCGCAACTGGTATTACTGCCAACTCATCCACCATTCAACGCTGAGAGTCGCTGCCAACTCATTTACCAGTTAGGGTTAAGAGTTGCTTCCATAGAACGGATCGTATCGACTTTTGTCAAAAAATAAATCCAAGACCGATTGTAAATAAGTGTTGAATTCAGATCAGCAGCTTTTTACAAAATCATTTTCAAGTTGCTGAATTTTGGGAATTCCTATCCACTGAATGAGCGAGGACATAGATTTTGTCAAAGTATAATATTTACAAGGTAGTAGTAACAATATCTTCATTATCAGTTCAGAACGAATATTTACATTTAATAGTAATATGCAATAACTTCTATTTCTGGGGAAAGAAATAATTTAAGTACACGAACAAAAGGTGACACGCAAGTTGAGACCGCAGGTAGATATAAAGCGATAGAAATTCCCGTGAGACTTCTACGACAAGTAACCGGATATGAGTAAAGTATAACAGGAGCAAGAAGGTGAGGAAAAGATCATAAACGAGGATCGAGGAAGGTCATCATTATGGAAACAGCGAAGGCTAAATGATTTTCTTTCGCAGGATCACTCGGCCACTCTCCAGGTCGTCCATCGTGGCCAATACTTGGCGGGTATCGCCTGAAATCATTATCGATTTTCTACACCGTATCAGTGAATACCGCCAAATTATCTTACTACTTAGGTACTTACTATACTTAAGACAAGGCTACTGTTAATTGGAAATATTCTTTGACTCTATAGGCGTGAAAAATCGAAAAGTCAACTATGAAGTAAACGAGTAATTACCAACCGGGAACGGTAGATCTGAATTGAATGTACTGTTCGCAGATCGAAAGGATCATTCCAGCAAAGGCGCCATAGTTTTCCGTCTGGACCACCAATGCTTGACCTCGCTGATACCTGAAGGTGTACATAAAGACATGCCACAGCCGACAAGATTGAACTCATTCAAAGTTGACCGATCCCTTTCATGGTATGCGCCATGTACTGGATTTTCATTCAAAATCGAAACAGCTTCTGAATGTTTATGAAGCTTATGCAACGATTTGAAGGAGCTGGTTACCATAGCAGTCAGTTTTTATCATCTACCCAAACTAACCTGATAAGGGTTACCTGGCTGCTGAAGAATTTTACGTTTAGTGGCATAAGATTGAACTCGGAGCTGAGGATGCGAAGTCGACACACTAACTATTTATTGTAAACCCTTGGATTCATTCCACATAAACTAAGCCCTTCATACTTCAAATTCGAGTCGTTGCTCAAAAAGTGATCTTCTGGGTATTCTCCAACACCTTGCATTATCAGTTACTAGCACACGTTAACTTTATCCTCCGTCGCTCCCCTTAATCATTAAGTGGTAGGGTGGTGCAGAAGATTATCGAGGAGACATCGAAGATTAACGCGCTGGACATTTTTCAGGCCAGGCTTGAAGTAGCATCTCTAGCGACAGCTAGTACATGCAAACTTTCGAGCAGCATAAACAACAATAAAAAAGTTATAAAATAAGCAAGATCGGAAATGGAACTAACGTTTTGCCTTCATAGATCAGTTTGCCATTATCTAAACTGACTTTATGATGTTGTACCACACTTGGGATACTTTCGGCTGGCGCCAACTACAAAGAAAAAAATTTAGAAAACTACAAAAAGATAAAGTAAGCTCAAAACAATCCATAGCTCCAGCTCCATCGAATGCCACCCATGGGAAGTTACTTTCGACGAGCCCCTCTCATCTCATACCATGGCTACGTGTACAGAAAACAAGATTGGGATTTTATCTCCCGTAATTCTTTGATTTTGAGCTTAAGATGAGTTGCGGTGAAGAAAACCCCGCGTGCCTATGAAGACTACCGACCCCCTCAATGTGCGCGACAACTTTTGGATTAGTTGCCTCGCCGCACCAGGTGTCCCAACTGTCACCCAGATTTTCTACGTGCTTTCAACATTTAATGAGAGGTTTGAGGACAGAATGATGTAAGAGTCCACAGAGAGGCGAAGACCAAATTGACTGTTTTGTAACATCGCACTCTACCAACTACACCTCGTTAACACGTCTATTTGGAGGCGGGACACTGACAGAGGTTTGCTGTATTTGAACTGTGCGTCAATCAAAAAAAAAAAAAAAAAAAACTTACCAGTCTGACATCTTCGGCGATAATATGCTCCGGAAGAAGGTGAATTATTGCTGGCGCTGCAGCCCTCGCTTTCTTCTTTTCGATGGAGGTAGCAATGTCGTGCGGTCGTCTGGAATCAGTTATGGACTTAAACATTTTCTCTTGTACTCTCTGAATTTCCTTAGTGAGTTGAGGCTGGTTTAATCAACTTATAGTCAACCTACCGTCGAAGACACTTTTTGTTCATGCTGAATGTTGGGCAGGCTGGTCCGGCAACATCCAGTACCGCGACCTCAGCTTCAATGAACCGTATCCGGTCGTCCACCTCCAGTAGTAGGGCCTAGAAGGGAAGCTTTCGAAAAAGATCCTGGTGACGCATGAGTTGCAATACTACCAACAGAAACTATATTTGTTCAGACTGCAGTTCTCTGAAAATTGAGCTGATTCGCTTAATTTTGTAGCAAACACCGCAGTTGAACCGATTATAATGAGAGGGTGGCTTGGTTCGCTCATAAGTCCCGCCCAATTCGAAAACTCCACCCACTAAGCATTAGTAGAAACTGGAAAACTACAACAAGCTTCACAAAAGAATGTCAGAAAATTCGCTATGATATCTTATTATCAATGTTTTCTCCAGATCTAGCGTTTCATATACCTGAACCAGGTCGTCCTCCCTTTCCTTCAATTCCCGTTGAATTGCAGCATTCTCCATACGGTACTTTCTCTCGATTTCCTCCTTCTCTCGCTTAAAAATTGTTTTTTGTCTTGATTGATTTGAAGATAGTTACTGATCAAAAACTAACCTCATACATAATATCGATCATTTCTAGTTCATCCGCTTGTTTTTGATGGAATTCGCGGAGTTTTTCCAAAAATTGAGGATGCTGGCCAGCTTCAACCAACTGCAGTTCCTTCTCTAGTTCAGATATTCGTTCTTCACTAGAAGCTATTCATTTAAACGTTTCCCAAAGCTTCTGAGATGTCCACAGTTTCAATTTTTCTCGAACTCTCAGAAGAGACGTGATAATTTGGGAGTATTTATGCAGACATAAACTTGCAACTCAAAATAGACACCCAACTTCACGTTCCCAAAAAATATGGAAAAAATCTAACTTTAATAAGCTTTTCTTTCTTTTGACTATAGAGCTGGGAAGCTTGCAGGAAAACACAAGCAATGGTCACAGACACTTTAGCGCACCAATGGGAATGCGAGCAGTAGTGGGCAGCTCCGCCCACATGCCAAGTCCGAGTTCTTCGCCCACGCAATGACTTCCCAGAAGAAGACCCTTTGGAATCGTACGGTTGTTCCCCCAATCTCGAAATATGAGAAAACCTCTGTATATCTCTGCTCGAGCTGCTCTAAAGTAATCCATCAGGTGCGAGTTAGGCGGGGTTCAGAAAATAAAGATGTTTAGAAAATAAGTTCAGCAAAGCAAAATGAACTTCAAAGAAAAAGCTATCAGGCAAATTTTTAAATAGAAAAGAATCATACTGTGAGATGGCCGGCTTGGGAAGAGGCGTAACGGCAATTGGATTCGCTGAAAAAATTCTTTCAAATAAAATTGTAATGCAGTGTATGTAGGTGGTACCAGTAGAGTACGTGCCGCACGTTATTGTGATTGGTGGGTTACACTTGAATAAAAAATCGATGCTGCAAGCGCTGGGCACTCCTAATTTAGGCCTTGACTAAGATTTAGGGAACAAAGATAAAAAACTGCCGTTGTAAGTGCTCGAATGAACCGCCCCATACCACGGGAACCCCATGAATGTCAGATTGCATGTAAACAAATTGCCGTTCAATTTCCTTGGAAATCGGGGCTGGGGAAGGAGTTGTGGGAGGAGGAACTAGTATTGATAAGTAGCGAGAGAGTTGATCCAATAAGATAATACTTTGACCACGCCCTTTGGAATACTGCCAACAATTCGCAAAGTGATGAGGAGGGAGGAAGGGAGAGAGGAGAGGAGTTGATCGCTACGCGTGGCAAATGGTTACTCCGATTTCCAAATGAATTCTTTTCCATCAAACTTCACGAACGGGTTTAGCGGACCATGGAGTATGAAGCTACTAAGGTAGTGGGAGGACTAGTCGATTATTCATAACAGCTATCATTTCAAGGTCAGCACTCATTACTTCTTCCTACTCCTCCGCCTACCCAAATAGGGCCTCATTTTCACATTTTCTTACGAAAGTAATTAAACCTCTAACTCACCGTTCGGTGTCATTGGACTGCCATGGGAATCGATCTCATCCTTCGAGTGCGTATCAGAAAATCTGTAAACGCTAAGTCAACAAAAGCTCCAAACTATAAATTAAATCAAATAAATTCTAAACTAATATTATTCAATGCTTCTGTGCCACGCAGGTTTCTTAATGGTGGAATTTTTATTCGCCTGACGTTTCGACAAACTCGTGTTTTCAAAGGCCTGAAAGTGTATCGGAACTTCAGGGTGTTACCTATCACATTTGACGTAGACCAGTTCTTAACTAGTTGCAACCCACACCCCTGAACTTACAACTAAGTAGAAATTCCAATAAGTCACTTACGTCAATTCCACCAACACCGAACGGTTGCTCAACTTTGGAGAACTATAGAGCAATTGAGACAGCCCGGTCAACCACGACTCTTTAATAGTATCGTGACATTAAATACGTAACTCTACGTATTTAATGTCACGATACTATTAAAGAAGATACTATTATTTTTTTAATAGAACTGGTCTACGTCAAACGTAATAGGTAACAACCTGAAGTTTCGATACGCTTTCAGGCCTTTGAAAACGACGATCTTGTCGAAACGTCAGGCGAATAAACATTCCACCATTAAAAAACCTGTGTGGCACAGAAGCATTGTATATTATTAGTACTGTTGCCCAGGTTTCAAGAGAGGCGAACATGGAAGTTGCTTGAAATTCTAAACTCCCAAATAACTAATTAAGAGATTATGTAGGTTTGAGGTTGTAAATGAAGATATGAATCGAGTGCCAGTCTTTTCCATTTCTGAGGATTTCTGTTTGTCAAGATCCCATTCTCACACCCAATGTGACCAAAGCTCCCAAGCGAAACTAAGGGAAGAATGCCGAGATTTATCGACAGTCGCACTTGGACGCTCCCAAGCAAATTTATGATCTCAATGAAGAAGGGGCCGAGTACACTCGACAATCCAGAAGAGCTTGAAAAGTGGAAATCGTACTAAGCATAAAGTAACTTATTGAAATCTATCGATCCGTTGTTTTAAGCCACGCACTCTGCTCTGAGTCGGAACCTGGGGCCAATTGATAGCGGAAAATTTCGGAACACGACTAGTCTTTGAACACTTCTCAGCTTTGTTTTTGTTCAATCCTCTCGTCATCGAAGTCATCGAATAATTTCTATGCTATTGCATTGTAGGGAACCACTTCTGCGGTAGCCCTCTAGAAGTTTTTCCCTATTTCAAAAAATGACCAGCGTTTTGTACTATGTCCTTGGCTTACGCTGCTCAGAATAATCCCCGTTTGATGCCTATTTACTTGCTTACTATAACAGTTAGTAGTCTAATGAATATGTGTAGTTCGTTTACGATGAACCTTTCCGAGATGACGGGGCTATCGAACGTGGGAGTGGTCGATGATGGTATCTTTGGTGAAGCTGTTGAACAGCGCACAGGTGTAGTGAAATCGTTGACCTCTGAATGAAGGACAAAGCACTGGTCTCTCTTAATAGGAAGAATCATCCAGAAAATGGAAACCCCACAGAGAAAATGGAAAATTACCTGGCCCATGTTTGATAGGCGTGTTTGAAACCGAACGCACTGATGGGCATCTCCGTTTTGCCGAAGACGGTGCACTCATCAGTACTCGTGAGAGGTCAAGTAAAGAATTCTGAAAATTTCAAAATAAACATCAAATATGATGCCGAGGGTTGCGAAGTTGCAGCGAAGAGGAGGAGGAAACCGTCTTGTAAAGCTTATCGGAAATGAACTTCTTCTTGAGAGGCAGACGCTTCAACTTTCATCAACAACGACAATCTCAGCTCACTTTCAATACGCTTTCCGGACCAATCTTCCTGTTTTTCTCAAAATCGCCGTTTCGATTTCCAAAAATTTAGTCGGGCCTACTTAGTCTACATAGCAGCAAGGAGAATTCAGAAAATATAAAAAATATCGAAGCAGTAAAGTTTAAAAAAACAAAAAAGCACATTGAATTTGCGTCGAGTAGATCACAAAACGGACGAATATGCCTGTCGGCGATTATCAAAATGCCGCTCAGAGAATATAACTGAATTGATAAGGGAATACCACGATTTCCCGGTAATGGGTGCTATCCGATTGAATCATGCCATACACACAAATGCCAATTCCAATCCCCCGGGTGAATCCCTCGGGACAAGCCCCATAATGTTTTCGGGGTTAAGGGAGCGATAGCAACGTTTGAATGACTAAGTCACCACAAATTACCGAGCTGTTCTGTGGAACATGAAAGTCAGCCTAGTGCACGCCGACGTATTGGCACTATGCGGTATGTCGTGTTAGGACCCTCAACCTTTACAATGGAAGTGAATGGTCCCGACACGACATAGTGAACTATTTTTGACAAGCCAACGGCGATGATATAAGCCGACCCATGCCCAGTACGGGTTACGGGAGCAGCTTTTTTGTGCACTGGAATGTTTTGTTCCCATAAACAAT